AAGGAAGTCACGGTAACTGCACTACACCTTGTGGCCAAGTATATTGGTGTATTGCTATTGTGTTTTCAAAATTTTTAATTTTTTAATGGCTAACATTCTTATCTGCTTGACAAAGTAGGTGTTCAATTTCAGCACTGGGAGAATTATTAAAAAATTGCTATTTGACGGTGAGGTGACAGCTATGGACCATGATCACACTGGCCAAATCATTTTCTGTGGGGATGGGCAGGTAAATTTTCTCGACACTGATGTTAAAATATATAAATACGTAGATGGTTTGTTATGGCTGGTTATGCCAACGGTTTTTTACTGATTACCTACGTTGTGGTCAAACTGAAATCAATTTTTGTATTGGTCGGTCTACTAGATGTGCTGACATGCCATCTGAACATCTCTTTAACAATGTAGTTAATAAAAATTGCAGGGAACTGTATATTCAGTGAGCATGGATTCCCATACAGGTTCACTATCCCGGTCTCATCGCCATCGTACTAATCACAAATCCGCTGTCACAACAGTGCAGTACCGAAGCTTCTCCCTCCTGGCATCAGGTCCTGTTCTGCTCACATGTACTCAAGATGGAAACATATGTTTCTTCAGGTTCAGCAACTCAACTTTTTTTTTMTTTTMAAATGCTCACTGTTTTCGTTATAGATCCTTAGAGTTGATTGGTTTGCTGTGTGTTGGTGATGCAGTGTTGCGCTTCAGATAAAAGGTTACCTGACATTGCGTTGCTCCTACAAATTAGCCCCACGAATACACAGGATCCAAGCATCTTTTTGCCCGTTATTATCCTTAGAGAAAGGAGAATACATAGGTTTGAATTTAAATCCTTCATTTACATGTAGTTTAGGTAATGGTGGATGCATAGGTCTCTAGAAAACTGCAATTCATTTGCTCTGTGTTTCTTGTTGTTTGAAACTATAGTTGCTGGGAGCGAAGACTCGAATGTCTACTTCTACGATCTAACCAAACCAAAACACACATGTGTAAACAAGCTGCAGGTGAGACCAGTCTTTTTTTTGGTATATCTGAAACTTTTGTGTAGTGTTGGAAACCAGATTCACGAGTTGTGAGAATTTAATGGTGTAGGGTCATAGGTTCCCAGTAATGTGTGTTGCGTGGAACCATGGAGAGAACCTGTTGGCCTCGTCTGATTTCTACGGTGTTGTTARTGTATGGAAAAGAGCAAAGACAAGCTGATAAGGTTTGTCTATACTATAATAAACGAATCTAAATCCGCCATTTTTGCCAGAAGGCTTTCTTGGGTTTTGCTCCATCTCTGTATCACTAAACTCTACTGTGTCTATTTTAGTTTTAAGTTTTGCTTTCCATTGTTTGCAATGACATGGTTCTGTGACAGTCCTAGGTACATATTAGATTCGCTAAAATTGTTGGGACAATCGTTATCATGAACACTTAGAGAAAGATGGATTCTTGATCCAAAGCCTGTGTAGTTACCATTTTTTTTATCATAAGAATCCAACTCCAAGCGAGGGTTGCAAATCGTCTTTTCCTTACTCCCAGTATGTACTTTTTACTTTGCATTTGAAACTTTCTTTTTCTTCCTTAGAATGTTTTACCCTCGATGCATTTTTTTTGTCTGCCACCTAAGGGTGCACAAATTATCCGGTAAGTACGTAAAAGTTGAAGAAAATAGTATCATTCCCCCTAGAAAGATGTTGTGAAGGGAAGTTAGGCGAAATTCATGTTTGCGGTGGGATGCGTATGTACTAAGGAAAACCATATCCAAGTTATATCCCGTCAACGTCAAGGACTAGGCAGTAGGATATAATTAGGAGAAGACTTCATGTGTAAAAGTGCAAGGCAAAGTTTGAAGCTTAGAAATGAAGAGTGTGAAGTAGTGTTTGAGAAGTTTCTTCCGTCCGCAAGTAGCGTCGAGGCTACGGATGACGGAAACCGGGACTCGTATTAGGGTAAATTTGAGATATATACCCAAAAGATGGGATAGGATTCGTAAAATTCGTAAGGAAGGATCTAGGACTCGTATTAGGATCGAAAGCTGACGCCTCCAACTTAAGTATATGATAGGAAGATACAAGTGTGGCTGGTACAAAAGGAATACTTAAACCCCTAAACCCACCACTTTTTCGTCTTGTAGATAAGCATAAAAAAAATTGGAGGAAGAGTTAATGGACACATAACTAATGGAATTGTTATCGTATGATTCTTCTTTCAAGAGGTTTTCACTTAAGGTAGGTTTAGTGGCATGAGAATATCGTTTAATTCACATTTTTATAGAATTTAAAGTTATTTTCGACGTGAATGAACTAAGGTAGTAGCTATACATGATTAGCAACCATTACATCTAGAGTTAATTTATTTTAAATGATGTGGAGCCATATGCCGGATGGATTAAAGGGAAAACATAGTCTTAATGGAT